TTCCTGGTCCTGCAGTCCTGTTTATGAATTTGAACATTGCAATCATATCCCCTCTTAAACACCTCTTAAACACATCTCTCAGGAGAACAAATGTAATTTCTGGAGGCAATCTTCAAAACGTATGCCCTCCATCCCCTTTATTAATTTGTTTGCCCTTCTCTGAACTCCCTCAAGTTCAAGGACATATTTCCTGAGGATTAGTGACCAAAAGTGAACTGGCCTTATCAGTGGTTTATAAAGTGGTAGAATTATGTTTTCATCTCTTGCAAAAAACCCTGTTTTAATGCAGGATAGTATTCTGCTCACTTTGCAAGCTTTTGCTTGATATTGCATGCTATTTTTGAGTCTGTGGTCTGTAAGGACCCCCAGATCTTTCTCCATCCCTGACTTTCCGAGAGGAGCACCTCCTAAATAGTAAGTTTCATGCATGTTCCATGAGCATAACTTAACTAACTGCTGTCCTGTGTCCTGTTCACCCTTGAATGTTATCTCAAACAATGTTATCAGGATGTATGGTAAACAGGCCATAAATGGTTTCTGCGGAATCTACCAAAATTTAATCTGGGTGCCCCTTTAAAGGGGGACCCTGATGTAAATAAGCCCCCTGCCCGCACCCCCACAACCAACGCTCCAGGGTTTGTGGGGAAGATGTCCTAGTCCCCATCGGCACGGAAATAAGGTGCTTTTCCAGGGATGACACTGGATGGTCTTTACCATCACTTTGTGCTTTCTTGCATAAAGTTTTTACAATCTTCACGGCAGATTCAGCTTTGCCGTTAGCCTGTGGATGCCGTGGTGAGGAAGTTACATGCTCAAACTCCCATTCAAAGGCAAATCTTCTGAATTGTAAGCTACTATCACATAAAACAACATATGTCCATCAAGTCCAACCTATTTGTGTATGAGTGTTTGGTCCTATTGGTGTGTAGTGTGTATAGGTCCATGTGTGTTCTCAATCTTAAGAGTACTTGTACCCCTGTATATTACGGTCCCTGAGGAAATCGTCCAATCGCCTCTTGAATGATTCCACACTCTCGGCCGAAATCACAGCATGTGGCGGGTTCCAGACCTTGACTGATCTAACTGAGAAGAAACCTCTTCACCCCTATTATTCAGTCTGTGGTCTACAATGACCCCCAAATCAGTTTCCCTTTCTGACTTTCCCAGGGGAGCTCCCATTAGTGTGTAATCCGTTTTTCTTGTTTTTAACACCAAAGTGCACAACTCTACATTTATCTACATTAAACCTCATCTGCCATGTGGTTGCCCACTCTCCTATTTTATCCAGATCCTCCTGTAATGTTATAGCGTCAGATTCAGTGACTATTCCCCTCCCGATTTTGGTATCATCAGCAAACACTGAAACATGGCTGTTTACCCCCTCCCCAATATAATTAATGAATAGGTTAAACAGCATGGGGCCCAGCACAGACACCTGCGGAACGCCGCTCATGACCCTAGCCCAATCCGAGAAGGTGACATTTATCGATACTCTTTGTATCCGTGTCAGAATAGAAAAAGAAAAAAAAAATGTTTTGGCCAAAATAATGCATTGCTAGATTCATAGCATTTGGGGTTGAATAAAGACATACGTCCATCAAGTCCAACCAAAGCTGGTAACCAGGGGACGCTGATCTCTCTGCAAGTGGCCTGAGCCAGCTGTAAGATCACGGCTGGCTCCGCCCAGCTGTCAGAAGCAGGCTGTTGGCCGGCCAATGGCCGGCCGCCCGGCCAGCTTCGGCTTTTAGCGCGGCTCAGAAGAGCAGAGGCATATGCCTCCGGCTTGACTGAGCCGCTCGGCCAAGTTCGTGAGCTGTACGGGCTATAGTGAATAGCCCATACAGCAGCCCTTCAGTTCTACTGAACCAAAGTGGTCCTGGGGCTGAAGCTAGCTGAAGGATCAGCCGAAGCTACGGCTAGATCCTCCGGCTGCTTCGTGAATAGACCCCATAGACTTGCCTGTATAGTTGGCCATAGACCTTGAGAATGTTGATGGAGGAATCTCCCCTGCCAGCTACTGAATTCTGTCAGATTACCCTAACTGCAGGTGATTGGTTGCAGTCATTGTTTGGCTGACAATTTTCCCCCTGGCTCCTTCGACCAAAGACAATTGAAAAATCGACTTTTATTTAGCTGGGTGTTGCTGTGTATGGCCTAAAACTACCAATACATTTCATAGGGTGGTTGATTGTGCCAACACAATCCAACTGCCCTCAGGCCAGAGCTCTGTACTAAGTTGACAAGTACTTTCTATGAAGAAGCATTGAGTAGATACTAGCATCAGCTGTTTAGAGCAAAAACAGTAGTGAGTGAAACAGGTTTTCTAACATGCACAGGTAGAGTACCCCCCAAAAGCAGCCTTGCCACAGACTTGTGGGGCACCCTTAAAATCTAGATTGCTGTCTGGTCTGAAAATGGGCAGATCAAGTGACTGATATGTCTTGGCTAACATTAATGTATGAAATGTGTAAAATGTTTCTTGTTTTTTGTTTCTGTTTTACTTAGACAATTTTGGACAACTGCCAACTAATATGTCTATCTATACATTTACAGCAATGTTAATTTACAACATTAATTTACAAAAAAAGTTGTATAAAAAGAATTAGTAAAAAAAATAAAAATAAACTATGCATTTTATAAATGTTCCTTTACCTTTGTTCCTGTTGTTGGTACCAGTCCTACAGCTCCCATGTATGTACTTCCAATTGTCTTGATTTTTTCAATGTCTTTGTAGCATTCTTTTTCCATGAGCTGTAACAAAGTAAACATTATACTGCCATCATAAAAGTGAGTTGTTACAGTAAAAGTGAAATTGTAGGGACATTCATAAAAAATATACGATCCTCCTATTACATATTTGAAAAAATGAATTTTTTTTGGCAAATGTTAAGGCAGACAATTTGTTTAAATGTGTCTATAACATAAGCAAACACATTTTATACAATTTTCAACACCTAAAAATCAATCAAAGTATACACCTGTTGCTATCTTTTAACATGTTTTTACATCAAATTACACCAGATTAATCTCTAAATAAGGTCAATAAGGTTTTTCCTAAGATTGCATACTTAAAAAATGAGCACAGCAAGAATTGTTTTTGTGCTTTACATATGTCTCTGTGTGTATTTATGTATGGGTAATATACTTGGTATAATACACTATAAAGTAAAGAAAATACAGTATACCCAGTAATTACAGTATGTGAAAATAAAAAGATTTAGGCTTTATGCAAATCACAGAGAAAGTTGTGGTGCACTGGATTAAGAAAAAAGTTAATGTTTACTCTATGGGCCTTTGTTATGCATTTCCAGCTGATTCGTAATAAAGCGACTGCCTTACTGCATAACATGTCTACAGTAATGCACCAAAGGCCCAGAGAAGTGTGAGAACTGGGCCTTAACACCAGCAGACAACTGGTCAACAGGATTAACTAAATGGGCAGAGAATGTTTAGGCTAGGGCAATTAATTTTAGTAGATCTGTCACACTACTAAAATATCTTACGATTAATCTTTTTGTTTGCATTACAATGATTTTAAAGTGAGCTGTTAAAAAAGATTTTTTACTAGAGAGATTGTGCAATCAATGTTCAACAACTGACAATGCAGCAGAAAATATTAGCAAATTATATCTTTTTTTTAAATCAACGTTTATTTAACAGAGTAATAATCTGACATTCAAACTTATCCCAAAAGACTGCACGCAGGCAGTCAGTGAATACTCATTTACAATGAATGAACAAGCATATGAAATAATGTAGCATAATATCAGACAGATTGGGTTATATCAAGACTCAGTGGCACAGTAATATAATATGACCCTGCAGAGTGAACAACATATCTGCCACTGGTCAAAGACATTGCATAACATGTTTCGTACGTATGTGTTGGTCGCCTTACATTTCACAATATACGTGCTGTGGGAAAGGCCCCCCTTTCTTAACACATATTTAATGTAGAATACAGAAACGCTAGATACTAGAGTCCCAAGCACTGTATCACTGCTACTGCCGCATATTATACTTTCTGAGCTTAAGGTGACTAAGGCGGGTACCTCGAGGGGTGAGGTAGTGAGGAGAAGAAAAAGGTAAAGTTGCAAGAATCAGGCAAGTACCCAGATAGCAAGGATAACGTGCTACAAACTTGTGGCAGGGTTAAATTCTAATTCTTGTTAACTTGCTGCACACATTCCTGGCAAGTTGTAGACTTGCAGAACACTTGCAGCACAAGTTCTAGTTGATACTTTTTGAATTTGTAGCAAATTTGCTTGGCAAGTCTACAGCAAAAGTCCTGCAGGTCTTAGCAAGAGCTCTGCAAGCTCACTGGTCTGGAGACTTGCAATGCAGACTTGCTGTAATTGTGCAACAAACTTGTGAAGCTTGGCAAGTCTGCAATAGTTTAGCAAGTCATTTTCAAACTTGCAGCTCAATTACTTGCTATCTGGGTAAGGGTTAGTAGATCAGAGAGAGGGGAGAGGAGCGTGGAAGAAAGGGATCCGCGTATCTGGTATCACCCCTGAACAGAACACACCAGCCGTAGGCTCCCCTTGGGGCGGCCCAAGGCTTAGCAGAAGTCCAGGGCACAGGTCCCTCCCTCCAGAAGCGCCCCAGAGTCTAACCCTGCGAGGTCATGATCTGTAAGTAGGGGTCAGTGGTGGTGTAGTGCTCCCACGCTCTCCAAGTAGTGCGAAACCACTCTTCCGTGTTACGAACAGTGGATGTGAGATCCTCCATAAGATGGATCTCTCTGACCTTTGTGAGCCATAGGCGCAAGGACGGGGCTTGGGTCGATCTCCAGAGTGCCGGGATGCAGGCCTTTGCGGCATTGAGTAGATAAACAGACAGGGATGTTCTGTATTGGCTTTGTGCGAGCCTGGTCATGTGCAGTAAGAACACCGACAGATCCAGCTCCAGCTCCAGAGTAATCAGGGTATTGATAATGTTACCCACTTCTGTCCAGAATCTGGACAGGGAGGGGCAGCTCCAGAAAATATGGAGCATAGTGCCCCCCGGGGGCTATGCCTGACGTCCAGCAGACGTCAGGAATAGCTGGGTTCATCTTGTGAAGAACGCGTGTCATCCTGTACCAGCGAGACAGGACCTTGTACCCCTGTTCTTGGAATCTGTTGGCAATCGAACACTTGAGGGCAAAATGTATCATGGTGTCTCTCTGCTGAGGGGAAAACGTAACGCCCAATTCTACTTCCCACTTTTGTAGGAACTGGGGGGAAAACTCTGCTGGAGGCGCAATCAGTAGTTTATAGATCTGAGACAGCGCATGTCGAACCGGCTCCCCGCATCCACAAATGACCTCAAACGGAGTCAAAGGCCTATCCAATTGCAGTGTGGCAGGTATAGCTCGAAGAAAGTGCCTAATCTGGTAGGCAAACCAAACATAAGCGGGGAAGGAAACGGGGAGAGCTGGGAGAGACCACAAGTGGATAGGAAGAAAGCATTGTCACATGACCTTAAATATGTGACAGGTTTCCTCTTCCTCTCAAGACACTTGAGTGTAAACTGCATTTATAAAGTACACAACAGGTACTTGTTATTTCTGACTTAGGGATGATAAATGCATAGAAGCTTAGAAGTGTCAGACATTTTCTAATCCAAAGTTAAGTTTGCAAAAAAGTTGCATCATTACATGAGTCAAAAAATCCACCAAAACTTGTACCAGTACAAAAAAGGACCAGATTTATACTTCGTGCTCCCCCACAGACAAACTATCTTGTGCCACCCCCTCCTACTTCAGTCAACTGACTAGCCTTAGTATTAAACTAAAAACACACCAGGGCTAGTGGTTAGAGATGTTGAAAAAGTATTTTTGTAACTCAAGTCTTATACCTATAACAACTAGACAACTACCTAGATAATTAGAAAAATAGGACAAACTGCCATCTTATTTTGCAAAACGTTCTCTCATAGTGGGTGAATTGTAAATACACTGTACACTATTCTACCAACAAAAATACTAAAAGTGTACATGACCAGTAAAACTGAGAATTCAGTTAAGTTGCAAGTGTGGATGGCAGTGTACCACGCCTGGCAGCCCTGATGCCAATGGTCATGGCCTATGTTGGTTATAAAGAAATCTGACCCTAAACATGACAAATGCATTTTATTACATTGTGCATATGGAATCAAAATAACTCAAAGTAAATCTTACCTCATCAAAATCAGCAATAATTTCATTTAAAAGTCGTAAACATTCCACTCCCATATTATTGCCATCAAGTTCAATGTAAAAATCATTAAAATTAGGAATGGAGGCAAACATCACACCGACTTGTGAATAAGACTGATAATAAAGATCCTGCAAGAAAAGAAAAAGTAAGCATTTTTTATCAAAAATGTATATTTGGAATGAGCCATTGTAAGCCCTCCACAATCATAATCCTCTGTTAGATCTAGTGGTTATTTTTAAAGTTTGTGCATCCTTTAGGAATGTGTTCTTTAAAGTTATATGTGTAAAAGTACAGCTAACATGATACAGAAAGCCAGCATTGTAAGGATCCTTGAGTCATCATGTCCTATACTGTACATGTATAGGAGGCGAGGATGCTGAGAGACATACCATCGCTGGAGTGGAGGAGGAGACAGGTTTCAGGGAGTGCTATAACAGCAAGCTGGCTTCGATAATCGGATGAGTATAACTTTGTTGTTTTCGCATCTAGACAAAAACGAGCACAGTGTGGGGGTAGCCACACTACAAAGTTTAAAGTTACAAAGTTTTTCCTGCAGTTTTTCTTTAAAGAGAAATGCACATTTGCTCCCTAGTGATTTAATGTTCACCATCTAGTCTCTAACTCATCTGCAGTAAACCACGATATTGTCTTTATCCATGCCAGCTTGACCTCATGTCTGTAGTCCAGCATACTACCTGAGCAAAAAAGAGAGTTTATTGTTTTCCGCTTTTTCTTTTATCATAGCCTTCAGCCTTGACTCCACTTACACAACAAATATGCCCATCTACACATGTCTGGCTGCCATGCTTAGGTGACACCACACCCTTCTTCCACAAAGCATAGTCTAAGTAATCTAGCTGACTGTACCTGGCTATTTCCCAGGTGGGAAAAATCTGACTGTTTCCACCTCCAGATACATTTCCAACAAGGTTTATTCCCCTCCATCCTTCCCCTAAGCCTTCCCCTGCCTTTGAGCTCCCTATCCCTTCCCTCCCTTTCCTGCCACACCAAATTCACCCTGACCACTCCTTTCACACCCTTAATGAGGTGTGTCCACCTGCCTGGGGGGGCGTCACCCATGCATGACTGCAGATCCTAGATTACCATCAATTTTCTATACCCCCTTAAATTCCTGCCATTATCTCCCACAACCCTAACCTGGAAATCTGAAAACTTCTCTCTATTAATTTCAAAGGCCTTAGTATACCAGTGAAGAGATCACAGCTCATAGGGGAATTGCATCAACACAGAGCTGAGATTGCACTCATTTAAAAAACTAATTTCTGTTAAGAATCCATCCCTAAACTGACTAATCAAAGGTTCTCGACTGTGTATCATGCATCTACGGGGCAGCGAATGCAACCAAAAGATTATCTATACTCCTCTCCAAAAATACTAGGGGGGGGGGATTTAAAACTGGAGCAGACAAAATCTGGAGCAGTTGCCTATGGCAGTTTGTTCAGTTAAGCTTTGAAAATGAAAGGTGGATGCTAATTGTTTGCCATGCACAGCTGCTTCAGATTTTGTCTGCTCCAGTTTTGACCAATTCCCCTCTAAGTTTCTCCTGGAGGGGTAATGGCAGACCCAGAGGGCCATTTTCTATTTTTGAAAGGGTCATAAGGCAGCAACCATCGCCAATGATGTCAATCAAGTCCCTGTTATGGTACTCACAGAGTGTCTGACAGGTTTTACAGACCTTCATTGAGAATCCCTGGCAGGACTTCCAGAAGACCCTCCAGTACCTCTAAAGGTAGTCACAAGAGATCTACCATTACTTCTAATGGCCCTCATAGAATCCAGGCTGGTAAAATCAATGATAGTCATAGAATCCGGACCAGAACATCCAGAATGTCCGAAAGGGAGCTGGGCGATGTCATTTCTGTTCAGACAAGTATGTAAGCACCAGCTCTGCAGGGTCCTGGTGGTGTGTCTTCAAGCCAGCTTCCTGTGTGTACAAGAGCTATAACACTGTTGTTGTTCCCTGCTGCTGACCTGGACCGTCTGATCCCTCTTCGCTTGCTGCCTACCCTGATCTTCTGCCTGAACCGAATTAAGCTCCTGTCTCCTAACCTACCGATTGATTACTCACTGCTGACGTGGACCGTCTGAACATGCTCTGTTAGCCGCCTGCCTCGACTCCTACCTGGATCAGACTACGCTCTTGTTGCCTGACTGTCCCCTACCTACTGGCTGCTGACCCGGACCATGCACTCCTTCACTCCCCAGGCTCTCCATCAGAAACAGGTGACAACCTAATGAGGTCCAAAAATAAATCTCCCAATTTTAAACCAGGTAAGAACCATGGCCCGTGGCCTTCGCACTTAATCTTACACTCCCATCAGACATGCTTGCCACATGCAAAACTCATTTCCCTTTTTTATTGGGGAAAAAAGGCTCTCACGTAGCAAACCAGCAAACCTCTTAGACCTTTATTTCCTGAACCCCCATAACTTTCTTAATCGGCCCCACGCCAACTTGCACAACTGGAACCAACTTGCCCTATTCTGATTTGGCTGAGCGACTATCCTAAAAATTAATGACCTACTCTGTTTTTCTATTTATTTCAAAAAATCTCTATCACCCTATCCAATGCATTCTTAGTACAGGCCACGCTTTGCAAGTTCTTGTAGAGCAACAAATCACCTACAACCTCAATGGACTTTTTCAACCTGACTTACTATGTAACTATGTAACTATAGCTTCACCATCAGTTTGCAAACACACTGGGGGCATAAGATTCCTGCATATTAGGAAATACTGTTGGGCATGCCACCTCACTAGAGTGGTGGACATGAACATCAACAAATTCAACAAAGATCGGATCTCAATTTATCCCCAATGGACATAACGGAATATTGCTCATACTATGTTTTGATGAGATTATCCTAATATGTTCCTATTTTGACCATTGCTTTGTACTGCCTAAAGCATATTTGATATAATACTGTTGGACTTACAGGGAACTTCTATATTAGATGTTATGGTACTGTCTTGAAATATGATTTATAATCCCCATTATATATCTTGGGGGCAAATATTTTCTTGTTTCTTTAATTTTTTTTTCTTCTCTATTCTGATTTTGTAATTTCTGTATATTTGAAAATTCTTCTTTAATAAATAGTTTGAAAGTAAAAAAAAAAAAATAAAAAAAAAAAAAAGATTGGATCCATATTGAACAATTATCATCTGACCTGCTGATTGGCTCACTAACGTGGATCATTTCTTGCCACTTACCCATCCTACTTTGACTTTAAAAACAATCCACTGTACTTGCAAATGATTTGCTATTTCTATTCTGGTGGGACCTTTAACACCAGAATTCCCCCATGTCAGACTAAATCTTTTAAATACAATTGTTTGCCGAATCACAAACTTACTGTACACACTTTTCTTTTTTTAAACAAGAAGAGTCTTCTGAGACCTTACCAACCTTAATACTACAAATAGGGTTCACAAACTGCCACTCTGGGCATACTGTACTTCCAGATCTGTCACTTTTTGAACTCAACTAAACAAAAATACTGCTTTATTCACCTGCTTACACCATTTGAATCCTTTTGTCTCTTGAAACATCTGCTTTCCCACCTAATCCCAGAAATTCACTCTCTGTCCCTGTCCCATAAAGTCCTCACTTCTTCAAAATCCTGTGAAATCGACCTGGTTCAGTAATTTTTAGCAGAGGTATGAGAGAACATGAACATTCTCATGCTCAAAAGCTCTCTCAATATCCATGGCCAGGAAATGAAAAGATCTGCTCCCGATGATAGCGCACCCCAGTGGAGCACTCTGATTCTCACAAGAAATGTCTGATACATTCTAGAGATGCCAAGGGGATCAGGGTACATTCTTACATATATAGTGTTACTGCCATTGACTCCAACCATTTTTGGACGGAGGTACATTCTCTTATAGCTCTCATTACCATTTGCACCCTAGATTTTCAACCTACCCTATTCCTTCACTACTTTTATTTTTCAGCAAAATAAGCTAAACATTCTACTACCACTACATCTGTTAAAGAAGAAAAAATGTTCTGAACCCTTGCATTGAGGCTACCTCCACACTGCAAGGCCTAAGTGCTTGTTTTTGTCCAGGTGCAAAAATACCTAAGTTATACTCACCTGAACCTCGCAGCTGGCTGGCTGTTAGAGTGCTTCCTCAAATATAATTATCTATATAGCGCCAACATATTCTGCAGCGCTGTACAATCATTTAGACAAGTAAGAAACACTGACAAACATCAGTGACATACAGAAACAGTAGGTGAGGAGGACCCTGCCCACACCTACTGTTTCTGTATGTCACTGATGTTTGTCAGTGATGTTCCTGTCCAAACAGGAAGCCAGTGCAGTTCATGATGGATTGAAGGGGGGCAATCTGGACATTTCATGCCGATAAGAAGAAGATTGCACTAGTCAAGTCGGGAAACGATCAGCACATGGATGAACATTTTGGTGGTTTCCTCAGTTAGAAAAGGTTGAATTCGAGAGATGTTTTTCAGATGAAAACAGCACGATTTTGTGATAGAGTGAATGTTAGGGGAAAAGGAGAGGTCAGAGTCAAAAAGCACACCAAGGCAGCGTGCCTACAGAGTAGAAGAAATGGTAGTTCCATCAGCCTGGAGAGAGATGGACATGGTGGTAATCTTAGAGGAGAGAAAGAGAAACAGAAAGAGAAACACAAGGAGTTTGGTCTTAGAGAGGTTCAGTTTGAGGAAGTGTTCCATTTTGAAACAGCTGATTGGCAATCAGTTACACAAGCCAACAGATTGGGGGAATGATCTGGCGAGGAGAGGTCAATTTGAGCATCAACAGCATAGTGCTGGCAATGAAAAACGTATGATGAGATAAGTTTACCAAGAGAGGCAGTGTCAGGATCCAGAGCACCCCCAGGTGGCGCTGGAGCCAGGTCCTGCAGTTCCTGTGCTCGCCTGCGGGTGTCTCCAGCAGCCAGGGACTGTGAGGAACCTGCAGCTCCAGTACTCACCTGCGGGTGTGCCCCAGCTGTGAGTGATCATCCCATCACCTGGTGCTTCCTGGGAGGGTATTTAGGCCCTCCCTGCAGTCAGGAAGCTGGCTCAGTATTTGCGTCGCCTGCACTTGACTGATACCTGAACCCAGCTACCTGAACCCAGCTACCTATCTGCAGACCTGTCACCGACCCGGCTTGTTACCCGACCACTCTTCTTGGATCCTGTTTCTGTACCGTGCTGCCCTCCTGTTAACGACCTGGCTTGTACCTGACCATTCTTCCTAAATCCTGTACTGTGCTGCCCTCCTGTTAACCCTCCTTGTTACTTCACTGCTAAACCTGTGGGGGGTTGAGGGGGTTAGTAGTTTTGTTTGATGGTAACAAATAAACTGTGCATAGAACCCTATCCTGTGTGGGCATATTAATTTGGTCATCCTGTGTGGGTACCTGCATGAGGTGTGAGGACGCCTGTACACGGTACCCTGACAGAATACTGAGCCCCCCCCGACCAAATTGACCACACAGGGACCTGCAGGCTTTTGGGTTTATTTTGTTTTGTTTTTCCCTTGCTACTGTCGAATGTTTCATTGCGGTGATCTGCCCGCTGAAACCCAGGCTCATCGGTGCTGGGGGGTGTGCCCTACGGAACCCTGGTGCCCATGGCCTTTCAGTTGGGTCTTCTGCTGACCTGTGGAGGCTTCTGCCGGATCCGGGTGGTGGACTGCTCGGCCTGATGCCTGACCCTGCCGGGGGGGGGGGGTGCTCAGCCGGTCCCCGAACTTTGGCCCTGGGGCATATGGTGGACTTGGCGGCCTTGCAGGCTTTCCGTGCCCTTGGACTTCGAGGCTGCTGATGGACTTTGTGGGAGCGTCCGGAGTCCGCTCCTTGAGAGGGGGGTACTGTCAGGATCCAGAGCACCCCCAGGTGGCGCTGGAGCCAGGTCCTGCAGTTCCTGTGCTCGCCTGCGGGTGTCTCCAGCAGCCAGGGACTGTAAGGAACCTGCAGCTCCAGTACTCACCTGCGGGTGTGCCCCAGCTGTGAGTGATCATCCCATCACCTGGTGCTTCCTGGGAGGGTATTTAGGCCCTCCCTGCAGTCAGGAAGCTGGCTCAGTATTTGCGTCGCCTGCACTTGACTGATTCCTGAACCCAGCTACCTGAACCCTGCTTCCTATCTGCAGACCTGTCACCGACCCGGCTTGTTACCCGACCACTCTTCTTGGATCCTGTTTCTGTACCGTGCTGCCCTCCTGTTAACGACCTGGCTTGTACCTGACCATTCTTCCTAAATCCTGTACTGTGCTGCCCTCCTGTTAACCCTCCTTGTTACTTCACTGCTAAACCTGTGGGGGGTTGAGGGGGTTAGTAGTTTTGTTTGATGGTAACAAATAAACTGTGCATAGAACCCTATCCTGTGTGGGCATATTAATTTGGTCATCCTGCGTGGGTACCTGCATGAGGTGTGAGGACGCCTGTACACGGTACCCTGACAGGCAGTGTACAGTGAAAATAGAAGAGGACCCAGGAAAGAAACTTGTCGGACTCCAACAGAGAGAGGTATAGAGGGGGAGGAGGAAGCCAGAGGAGCCAAAGAAGGAAACGCCGAAGGAACGGTCCGATAGATAGGAAAAGAACCAGACGACAGCAGTGTCATTGATGCCAAGGTTGCGGAGGGTGAGTAGGAGCAGTGGGTGGTCAACAGTGTCAAAAGCAGCAGAAAGGTCAAGAAGAATAAGAAGTGAATAATGCCCTTTAGATTCGGCGGTCACTAGGTTGTTAGTCACTTTGGTCAAGGCAGTCTCTGTGGAGTGATGGGGCGAAAACCAGATTGTAGAGGTTCAAGGAGGGAGTTGGGGTTCAGGTAGTCTGTGGGTCGGGTATACACCAGTTTTTGAAGGAGTTTGGAGGCAAAGGGAAGAAGAGAGATGGGATGATAGCTAGATAAAGCTTCAGTTTTTTTTTAGTATGGGTGTGTTGAGGACGTGTTTGAAGCAAGAGGGAAAGATGCTGGAGGTAAGAGAAAGATTGAAGATTTTGGTAAGAGAAGGGACAATCACAGAAGAGAGAGGACGGATAAGGTGAGACTCACACTGCAGTGCTGGATTCCTCAGAAAGAGATCATGCTGCAGTGCTGAGTACTGCATAGGGAGGTCCAACTACAGTGACAGGTACCACAGAAAGAGGCCACCAGGGATCCCCTTTAACATTTATTTGTAGTTATGATCCAGAGTACATCTTTGAACTTGTGAATGTTTGAAACAAACATGTATGGGTAGCACATGTATTATGCTAAAAATGAAGAGACAAATAACTTACATCTTTAACCAATATGTCATCAATTGGCTAGCATTATCTAAGCGAACCTGCTATTTTTAAATACTATTTATTGCATGCACAGTGATGCAATAATTTATTTATGGGAAAAAAGATATCATAAATAAATTATTCCATCACTGTGCATGCAAGTCATCCTTCTCCCATGGTATTAGATAATGGTTGCATTCAAGTCTGATCATGATCCGAGCTGTTCAAGCATCTTAGACATCTGATGTTTGTGGTAACATTTTCTTGCTTCTGGAGGATAATTATAATGTATTGCAGCTACTTTGTTAATAGCTATTAAAAATAAATGTAATGTGAGATGCCAAGATATAAACATGGAATTAGCCTTTGTAAACAGCCATTCGCTGTCAATGATTGGTTATCTACTTGTATTGTCATTAATTTATTAAATTTCTAAACCAAAAATGAGACTTTAATATAAAAAGGCAGAATTTCAAAATGTTTTACTTCTTTCAACATAGTTTAAAAAAATACATCAAATACTCACAATCATCCAATGAAATTCCCAAGTTTTTTATAACCTGTTCTTTTAAGGATTTTTAGCAAAAAATAATAGCAATGGGCAGCTTATTTTGATTGTAACGTCACACTTCCCTGTACCATAATATATTAAATTTAGCTTATTCTGTCCTAAAAAACATGACATTCTATCATGTACATTTTATTTGAGATTTCCAGTGGAAAGAAACTGGTTTAAATTAACTGAACATTGTTGAGTTTATGGTCAGCTTTATTCTGGCTTATTCACACAAAAAAATAGTTGTATTATATTTTACCTCAGCTAGATTAGAAACTAGACTGACTAAATATTTATTTTGTCTACACTGGTAGAGGAGAATTCCAAACAAGTTTATGGCACATATGTCACCCCTTTACCATCTAAAAAGTCGATATTACATGTGTTAATATAATCTTTAGTGTTGGAGATGATTCCTGTGTTCTTTTTCCTTTTCTTTCCTGTGTATTTATGGATATATTCTTCTTTTCTTTTTGTATAAATATGTAACAAAAAAGTGACCAGTCTCTGCTTTCATTATTACTTAATTAGGAACATTCAGTTTACAGCTGATAGCTCTTCCTAAGAGCAGCTTCTCACCTTCATCACTCAAACATTGTGGCTGGTTTTCTAAAGACTGTTAAGGTGCCCATACACCTTTTGACCATCGCAAGACTTTTGTCTTGCGATGGTCATAAGCTTATTAAAACCTCATAAGCTTATTAAAACCTCGTACGATCTGCCCATCTTGGACCGGCAGATCGTACTTGCGATCATCGAAAGCCCGCCCCGCTGAGGGGCGGGCTTCTGATGACCGCAATGCAGAACGGGCACTGTGCGCGTGTGCACACCGGCGCGTTCCGCAGCTGTCGAACGAGCAGGCTAGAAACCCGCCGACAATCGTATGATTCCATACAGTAAAAACGGTCGCACGTCTTCGTTCACACTGCTCGATTCTCGTCCGATCGCGGGATTTCCCGCGATTCTCGTACGAGAATCGAGTAGTGTATGGGTACCTTTAGGCCTCATTCACACTGATAAGACCCTGTCCGTACAGATCCGTGCGGCATGGAAGGACAGGTGCTGCGTGTGATTTGTATGCAGCAGCCTGTTCTTCTCTATGGGAGGAATAACTAAATAGCATAAGAATCTTTAAGATTTGCTTACCATATTCCTTGGATTTGACATAAGAAAGTGCTGTGCAACATGTGCTGGCAGGAGGTTGAAGAGAATTCTCTTATTATCCAGCTTGACTCTCTCCATGTCATCTCTCTCCTCTTCTGCCTATAAAAAACATTATCATGTAATCATTATAATGTAAAACTAATTCAATGAACCTAAAGTATTTTCTTGAACATGAACATATAGTTCTATTCAATGTAACAAGTATTTATAATATATTATTGTGGTAATTTCCATACAACCAACACTGCTCAGAATGTTGTTTTCTTTGGCAATATTAGCCCAAGAACTTTCATCACCAATAATATTTTTCACATTAAAACCAAATGAAAATGGGCTTAGTAAATTGCTTAAATTATTAAACAACTCCAGAAAACTTATTGTGAAAGTAGATTCCGCAGGTTAGCACAGAGCCATTGCTGAAGTCATCATGCACAGGACGCATTGGGAAAGAGAGCTCTGTAATGATTATATGCTGGCAATCATACTACCTTTGTGAGCAGTTTTGAATTAATTTTATTAACTGAGGATTTTAATTTACTACACTATGAGCGATTGTTTCATGGGAGCGATTACCTGATGAATAACTTTGCTGGAGCGGTGGAGGATTAATGGATTCCTGAGCGGAGGAGAAGCAGCTGGAGACAGAGTCAGGTGTAAAGCTGAAACCTGCCTTTGTGCTGTTATACACGGATTTCTGCCTGATCTGATTTCCGAGATCATAAAAATCTGAACAGTGCGGGAAAGGAGTCAGCGGGAGAGCACTTATTGGTTGAGGCACACTGGAGTAGAATAGAGAGTGAAACACTATGGGGGTTATTCACAAAGCTGCCGAGTGAATAACCAAGCCGAAGTAAAGTGAGCTGAACGCTGTTCGGCTATTCACTTCTGACTTGTATGGCTGATTTCAGCTGTACAAGCTGAAATCAGCTTTCATCTTGTAAGTAGAAAAAAAAAAGGTTAAAAAAACATTTTAAAAATGGTACTTTGCATTCCATTCCTGACAATAGTATATGTACCTTAGCCTGCCTATGCTGTTTGTCTTATAATTTGTTCGTTGTCTATTGATTTACTTTTGAACTGTTGTTATCTGCTATAAAACCAAATAAAAATGTTTTTGAATTTTTTTAAAATAAATAGTGAAATCAATCAATAAAATAAATATATTTTTAAAAATTATTTTTTTTTAAAAAATGGGCGGAGCTAGCAGTAAGAGCTAGCTCTGCCCAACTGTTTCCTATTGGCTGGGACCTGCTAAAGTCTTCTAGCAGGTCTCGGCCAATGAATAACAACTGGGCGAAGCTGGTGACGTCATGGCCGGCTCCGCCCAGTTGTTATTGTTTGATGATAGATCAGCATCCCCAGGTCATTTGGGGACGCTGATCTGTCATTACAAATGGGCAAAGCCTTAAGACTCATCTCTTCAGGGAAGCCTATCCCACCTCAACCTAACCACTGAACAATCACTTTCTCAAACAATCATCCCCGCACAGCTACCTCCTCATGTATCACTTGCCCCTCCCTTTTAGATTGTAAGCCCTCATGGGCAGGGCCCTCCTTACCATCTTGTCTTAAATTGTATTGTGACTGTAATGTCTTCCTTATATTGTAAAGCGCTGCACAAACTATTGGCGCTATATAAATCCTGTATAATAATAATAATAATAAAAAGCCAGCCGTCATTTGCGGGGCTTGTGGCCGGCCGTTCGCCGCGCTTTGGCTGTCACTTCGGCTAAGTCAAGCTGAAGCATATGCCTTCGGCTTGGCTGAGCCACTCGGCCACCTTCGGCGGCTGTACAGGCTATAGTGAATAGCCCATACAGCAGCCCTTCGGTTCGACTGAACCAAAGGGCTCCAGCGGCCAAAGAGAGCCGAAGGATCTAGCCGTAGCTTCGGCTGATCCTTCGGCTACTTCATAAATTGCCCCCTATATATTCATGTTTGTTTGATAGTGGATGGACAGTGATTTATGGACACTTTTTGTGGATAAATAGAATTGATTCAAACGTTTTCTGAGCATATATAATTGATCGGCACTATTTCTTGGGGGTATAAATGATATAGAGCACCATTAGTTTATCAAATTGATGTGGAATATTAGGTGGTACATAAGATTGATGTGAATAACATACACTATTTTGTATATATTTATGTAATATTTTTAAGCACAGTGCACTGTTGAATTAAATCCAGAAAATGATACACAATACTTCCTCTGTCCAAAACCTTGGTGCTCCAACTGACAAAACCATTGATACATCAATTTAATAATGGTTTCCTGCAACATGTTTCCCCATGGAAATAATCTAAGAATAATAAGGCAAGCAAGTTATTTTCTGAATTGAAGTCAAGCAGCTGCATCAAAGCTCCTACAAAAATGAATTGCATGATCGTCCATAGATTTGGCAGTCTGTGACTTGCATGAGAGTGAATATCAGATAATAAAGTTTAATCTGCAAAGTAATTTATTTTTACAAGTACATGAATAATATAACAATCCTAAGCCAAGTTCCAATACCTTCCACAGTGGGAGCTCCTAGCTACAGATCTGGAATATGCAGCTGTATGATTTAACTTGTTCTTGAAACATTCAGTCTTACAGTTATTTAACTTTTAGGTAGTGTATTCCCTGTTTTCTGATTCTATAAGCTGTACTTTATACTCAATAGTGTTTTCTTTTGAGCTTGAAGTATTTGGATTACTTTCTTTCCTTGAAGTCTTCAGAGATTCCATCAATAGTTATATGACATCCCTCAATTGTCTAATAATGTATTATTTTCTCCTCCAATTTATAGGCTACTTGCATTTGCCATCCATTTTATATTAAGCATACCAGCTTACCTTTTTAAATATTTCAAGTCTTTCTCAAATGGAAAAAAATTAAGATTCAAAAATAGTTTGCACGGGAGGGAAGAGAATGAAACATAAGAAATCAGGTATTCTGGAGTGGCATAGCCATCTAAACAGGAGTTGTGCAGATAGGACAGAAGAGAGAGGACTGCCCTAGGGCCATAAGGGATGCACAGAAAAAGGAAAAGAGAAGGGGTAGAAATCAAAGGAGTAAGTGGGGACGGAAGGAGAGGCAGGGAAGTGCGATCCACCGAGCATGGGAGGGGGACAGATAGGAAAGGAGAAAACAGAAAAAAGGTCAATACTCAGGGCACCAAATCTCCAATCATCCATTCATGTGTAAGCAAATGAATCGTGTTTTTTAAAATTAAATTCTTGCACATTAAGTGGGTATTTAAAGGTAAAAACAGCTTTACTTTATTCACTAAACTAAGTAAATACCTACTTTATAAAGCAGCCATGCTCTACTCCTAAGTAAGTGAACTACTATATGTTTTCAAGCACCTTGTATGCAACAGTTTGAGGTCACAGTAAAATTCACTCCATCTTTATAAGAAGCAAATTAAAGGAGATAGAGCTCAGTGTTTTTAACAAGTGTCAACCACCAAATGCCACTACATCAATATGAAACTACAAACAGCTGTTGATTTATAAAAGCTTTACCGAGCGTACAGCTGGGCAAACACCGTTCGCATGGTGTCCAATGTAGTGAATTGCTACCTGCATTACAACAGCAATTAAACATGTACATTTAACCAAGCTCAAAATAGATCATAGCAGCATACTCTGAAAGTCAGTTCCCCTCAGAATAGAATAAATATTTTAAAATGGATTAAAGCAACAATATACTGTGGCCATCAGTACTAACTATACAGGGAAACAAGAATGCCTAGATGAGCGTGTTGACAGTTGATGCAAATACTACACCTCTAAATCCAAGCAAAAGAGCCTTGGCAAGCAATGCAGCAATCATCATCAAATGATCAAGGTAGGGATGCATCGATACTAGTATCAGTCACCGAGTATTTGGGCGAGTATTTGAACTCCCGATACTTATCCCGATGCTGGAACTTCCAGTATCAGGAAGCTGGGCGGACTGGCCTCATCACCAGGGAGCATGTAACTTCCTGATTGGTCGGGAAGCTGGCCAATCAGGATGCCAGGTGGCAAGTCATTACTCCCCCCCCCCAGCTGGTGACGAGGGAGCATGGTGCCAACTTCCCGGCCAATCAGGAAGACAGGCGGCCTGGAATTACTCACTGCCCGGGTTCCTGATTAGTCGGGAGGCTGGCCAATCAGGAAGCTGGGTGCAAGTCAATATCCACCCCCGCCTTCCTGGTTAGCCAGAAACCCGGCTCAATGCCTCCTCGTCACCTGGTGATGAGGGACCATGGAGACGGCTTTCCGGCTAATCAGGAAGCTACAAGCCGAGTCATTAAACGGTATCGGTATTCGGCGTTGGCGAGTACCGAAAAAAAAATCCGCTATCAGTGCATCCCTAGATAAAAGATTAGGCTATAAAAACTCAGAACATCACTTACGATTAATTGAGTAATGGTGAGCTCTAATGGGGTAGTAAAAAACTGTATGCTGGTAAAGAATAGTATGCAGTAGGTATCTACTGTTCTTGTAATGGTATTTATGCAAACCAGTACAAATCCAGTGCTGAAGTGGATATGGATCAGGGTTCTCTTTTTGTCTTAACTAATGTTTGCCCACCTAGACATCTCTAATGACTTTCCATGGAGCTATTACTATTTTGCTTGATGATTAATCATCTTATTTAATTAATGGTCTCAACATCAGCGCATTTCAATCCATTTATAGTAAAAGCAAAAATGTATTGAATCCATTGTTAAAAAAATATGCAACCTATCTCAAATACCACACGCATAATCAATTCAAAAAAATCAAGCACAGATGAAACCTAATATCTCATATAAATATACAATATTGACACTGCTCTTTCCCTCTATAGTAATAGGACTAAGTCTAATAGACTCACCCCTGAGAGGTCTCGGCTTACTGTTGAACATGTTAAACTCAAAAGTGAATTTGTTGCTGTTGTACTCCTGTTACAGATAGGACATGCACATTGTTCTCAGGATTTCCAAGTGTGTGTGTTCAAGTGTGTGTACCATAAGATATTAAAATAGTATCCAAGCTTGATCTGGCTGAGTGAAATGCAATCTGGTTTAATGTGTCTAAAAGTACTTCAAATGTTATTGCTCTGGAGAACTCTTATAAGGCCT